GGGCTGTATCCCAAAGAGATCATAAAAATGGGAAAAGGACCCACATGTACAACAATATTTATAGCAGCTCCTTTTGTGGTGGCCAAGAATTAGAAATTGAGGGGATGCCCATAAATTGGGGAATGGCTGAACAAGCTGTGGCATATGAATGTAAAGGAATAATATTGTTCCATAAGAAAGGGTGAGCAGGCAGACTTCAGAAAAATTTGGAAAGACTTGTATGGACTGATGCTGAGTGAAGTGAGCAGAACCAGGAGAACATTGTACGCAGTAATAGCCACCTTGCACGATGATCAACTATTTGATAGATTTAGCTCTTCTCAGTGATGGAATGATCTAAGTCAGTTCCAAAAGACTCATGATGGAAAATGCTAGCCACAGCCAGAGAAAGAACTATGGAGTCTGAATACAGATTGAAGCATACTGTTTTTCCTTTTTTGTTTTTTTCTTTCTCATGATTTTTCCCTTTGGTTCTAATTCTTCTTTACAACATGACTAATGTAGTAATATGTTTAATATGATTGTACATGTATGGCCTATATCAGATTGTACTCCATCTTGGGGAAGGGGGAGAGGAAGGAGGGGGAGAAAATTTAAAACTCAAAATCTTGTAAAGGTGAATATTGAAAACTAAAAATAAATATTTTAAAAAATAAATGCCCACAAGGAGACAGGGATGATGTCTGGTAGAGATAACTGGAAAAAGGTGGACCTGGGACATTATGGATAGAACCTGGTGATACCTTACCTACAAGTGAATTTTTTGGTGAGACTACATTACAAAATGAAAGGATACATAAAAGGGAGTAGGGAATTAGAGAAACAGGGAATGTGTGATGTGCCTGGGTCAAATGAAGGGCTAACAATGAGGAGAAGGTGAGCCCCTATGGTCTCAGGAAGATAAGAGCCTGAAGGAGAGTGGATGATGTGGAAGGGGAAAGGACAGAAAAGTGGAGGAGAGGAAGGAGGCCTTGCTTTGGGGATGAGACGGCATTCTGATGATGAATGTTCCTATGGCGGAAGAAAGATGTTGGGTGAAGAGAAGAGGACCCTGAGCTGGGTGTGGTCTGGAGGATTTGGAGCTTAAAAAGACCATTTGCTCCACCTCAGAAGGGGAAAGTTGGAACTCTAAGGGGCAACTGGAGGAGGACATTTTGAGGTAAATGGGGGGTGTGGGGCAGAAGGGAAGGAAGGGAAGGACAGAGCTCAGTGGTGGGCTGCATAATCAGGGAGTGGGAGGAGCAGTAATCATTGGGCAGTGTCCTCTCTGACACCTACAAGAACTGGCATCATTCTGTGAGTAAGGCACAATGGAAAAGGGGAATCCCCAGGGTAAGTTCAATAAGGCACTGGAAGAAACTGCCCAGAGAGGAGAAACCAGAATGGAGACCTTGGAAGTTTTGATTGCTTGAAGAATATGGAAACACTAGATAAGTATAGGAGTCATGAACCAGAGAATGAAAATCTAGAGTAGCCAGAACAAGAGGATAAATAATGAAGAAAGTAAGAGAAATCTTCTTTGGAAAGGGATGAAGGAAGGAAGAAAGAAAAAGAAGGAAAGAAAGAAAGAAAGAAAGAGAGAGAGAGAGAGAGAGAGAGAAAGAAAGAAAGAAAGAAAGAAAGAAAGAAAGAAAGAAAGAAAGA